AAGCAAAGAACATTTACATTATCAAAGAATATCACTGAATTCAGTTTAGCATGAGTGTAAGCACTCTAAAAATAGCTATAAGCTATAATCAGTGATGTTGTCTGCAGTGTATGATGAATTAATCTCTTATTTACATTGCATGCATATCTGCACTTTGTTGTTTCTGATGAAAGAATTCGCCAAAGTGCACTGACCAAAAGTTTTGCGTATCAGCGATGTTAATATTTAGTAATATCCCCTTAAATAATGGAAATATTAAAGAAAAAATGATTGAACTAAAATCACGAAAGCACAAATATATATTGGTTCGCATATAACTCTGTCTTAATTTGTATGTTAATCTATAAGAGTTTGGGCTGTTTAATATTAGGATTTTGTCAAAAATCCCCCACCATGGCACCGCCCTGCAACATCAAGCCCCGCCGAAATGTGCTGTGATTGGTTAGCTGGGCCAGTGTGTGTTGTGATTGGCAGCACTCGGCGCCTGGTCGGGAAATGTCACGCCCCTTACCATAGCCGCCTGCAAGCTTCAGTGTAAATATTGCTCAAAATCAAATCAATTTGAGCACGATTTAAACCCGGATGATTGTAACCACTCTAAGTTAATGCTTTTATTCAGCAAGGATGTGTTAAATGGATAAAAAGTGATAGTAAAGACTTATATTGTTAGAAAAGTTTCTATTTTAATTAAAACTTTTTATTAATCAAAGAAAAAAGTATCACAGGTTCAAAAAAAAATATTAACAACCCTCTACATTGCGAGTAAATCACTCGCATATGTGACTAAATCTTCACTCTGGGCGACTAAATTATGTCTAATATTAGCCACTGGCTAATAAATTCTCAGATTTTACTCGCCAGTGTGTGGGTTGGAGGCTAAGTATACGTTTAGCACAGATATATTTTTACTCGCCGAACACACTGACTGAGCGCTTCAGAGTTTCTCTCTCCGTCAAGCGATCTGTGCTATTTTTCAGTTCATCTGAATGAATGCGCAGCATACCTGTATTTGACATACCGTAAACTCTAGTGTGAATGCGCACGACTCGCCGTCGCTTAGTTTTTTTCTCACACGCAAAGAAAGACAGAGCGAGAGAGTCTTACATAACATGCAGAATTGATGCGCTACATGTAAACGATATACTTTGTTGTATTTTCCTATCAAAATAACGGAGTTCCTTTGGAATTCTTCAGCTTTTAAGAACTGCCAGGTTCTCCAGTAGTAGGCGGAACTAATACGCAAATGACAATCTCATTGGCTGGCACTCACCTATTATCGTCCTTGTTTTGATTTCAGCAAATCAGTTTAAGCGAATGCACACAACCTGATTAATATTCATGAATCCAGCAGATCGTTAATCCTTAATGCGTTTTATATTGTTCTTAGTAGAATTCGTAGTATTATATTATTATTATTACTACTACTATCTTATTAGTATTACTGTTAGTTTTTTCCCCATTTTTTTACAGAAACACTAAATGACCAAAAAAGCACCACCACCAGTCCTAAGTTCAGTTAAAATGACTAATATGCATTCATACATGGTTACCAGTTTTAATTCTAATTACTAAAGTTCTATCATTAAATAATACGCCCAGTCTGGCGTGTAAATTAAAAAATCGCCAATGGCGATTCAATTGCCAAGGTGTCCATAGAGGGTTGATTAAGCAGCACAACAGTTTCAACACTGATAATATATCAGTGTATTATAATAATTTCTGAAGGATCATGTGACACTGAAGACTGGAGTAATGGCTGATGAAAATTCAACACTTCATCACAGAAATAAATTATATTTTAAAGTATATTAAAATAGGAAACCAATATTAGAAATTGCAATAATATTTAACAATATTACATTTTTTTCTGCATTTTTGGTCAAATAAATACAGCCTTGATTAACAGACTCCATTAAAAAAACATGAAAAATCTTACTGATCCCAAACTTTTGAACGACAGTGTAAAAACTAGAACTGAAGAGAAACACTTACATAAAATAACTAAGAAAAAAATATATATATAATTGTATTATTGTAATAAATCTATGAATGATAATTCATAGATTATCATGAATGATCTGACCTTATTTGTCACCTTGAAAAATAACCAAAACAGCAAACCACTTACAGTTGAATGCTGCTGAAATAACAATAAAATAAGAGTCAGAAGGCAAAAATAATCTAGGCATGGAGCTGGTGTGCCATCCTCAGCCTGACCTTTCTGTCCAACATACATCGATCTCATTTTGTGCCAGATCTGAGGCATGATGCCCTCTAAAATTCTGGCCACAGTGGGTCGAGTCAAACAATGCCGAGAGCCAGCGTAGGCGTGAAGGAGCGATGCAGGCAGGACTGAGGAGACAGCAGCAGATGGGCCCATAAATACTGTTAGTCTGGGTTAGTGCGATCACACGGCAGCATGTGAGGAGGGCAATTAGTTCTTGAGCTCCACTAAGAACTTTATTAAAGGTGTGATTGCTGCTGATCGCAGCTGGATTTACAGGGAGATGTAAAATGATTCCATAGGAAAAATAACAGATGGGGAATTGTGGAAATAAGGCAGTGGTTCACAAGTGGTGGGTCACAGGTCTGTTTTGATTGGACAGCGAAAGGTTTTGTTTCAGATTGGAAACAAAAACAAAAACTAAAGCTAAATGCAAATACTAGACCGTAACAAACCTGTAGATCATGCATGTTTAGTACAGCAAAGTAAATTGAAAAAAATTTAAGTAAATAAAGCAACTTTTTAAAAGGAGTTGAAAATCATCCCAGAAACCAATGTTGTTGATGCCAAAGGTCATGGTCCCAATCAAACTAAGTTAACCAAATTTAGCCTACAGTTAGATGTTAATATGGACATGTTGCTTGACCCATATTTACTGCAGTCTGGGTTGTTTTTACTTTAACCATTAAACATTTAAACATTAATCCACAGCAATATCACCCTGCAGCCCAAGACTGGTTGCCCACTGAAGCTAAGCAGGGTTGAGCCTGGTCAGTACCTGGATGGAAGACATCCTGGGAAAACTAGGTTGCTGTTGGAAGAGGTGTTAGTGAGGCCAGCAGGGGGTGCTCACCCTGTAGTCTGTGTGGGCCCTAATGCCCCAGTATAGTGACAGGGACACTATACTGTCAAAAAGCACCGTCTTTCGGATGAGACGTTAAACCGAGGTCCTGTTCATTCATTCCTTCATCATCTTAAATAACAGTTCACATACAGCTAGTATAAACATGGTTTGTGCCAGACTAAATTTGTTTAGTGTGGTCAATTAATGGCTGCTGAAAGCATGAAACTATAGAAATGTTTCATGCATGAAACAACCAGAATTAGAAACCACAATCTTTCAATTTTCCTCTCAGTATAAGCAGTTCCTGGTAATATTAATAATATTGTCAATGCTTGATTATTTACTTTTGTATAAGGGCATTAGGTCCAATACATAGTCTGGGTCATGAAGCAAAAGTATAGTTGAGACAGCAAAAGTCACGTTCAAACAGAGAAGAACTTTCTCCCACTGTCAAAAACCTGGACCAACATTGACTATACAGCCCACTCATACCCAGATTCATTCAGAATGAAATGCAAACAGGTCATTTCACCTGTTGGTATTGCCCATTTTATTTTCGTAAATTAACTTGCTCCTAATATGCTACTATGCATCTCATATAGTTCTCTCTCAATTTCCCAAGCCCCATCCCAGTTTATAGGCAATGTGCTCTGGGCGCATTGCCATAAAAGGTTAAGAGAGTGTTGTAACTATAAAGATGCAATCTGGACTAGTATGAGCACATGCCACCAAACAAACCATCAAACGCTCAAGTTCAATACAGCCAAAAAACATTTGGATCCTTGTCCATTTAACTTTGCCTACATTGCTTTTTAAACAAACCAACTGTACAGGGGGCTAATGTTCTATAAATACTACAAGGATAAATATATTACCATTCAAAAGTTTGGGTCAGTTAGATTTTTTCAAATCAATTATTACATTCATTTAACAAGGATATATTATATTCATAAAAAAGTGGTATAATGTTAGAAAAGATTGATGTTTTATATATATGCTGTTCTTTCTGAACTTTCTATTCATCAATGTGTCCTTAAAAATGCGGTTTCATGGTTTCCACAAAAATATTATGCATTACAAATGGTTTCAACATAAGAAGAAATATTTCTTGAGCACCAAATCAGCACATTAGAATGATTTTCGAAGAATCATGTGACACTGTAGACTGGAGTAATGATGCTCAAAATTTAGCTTTGCGTCACAGAAATAAATTGCATTATACAATGTATTAAAATAAAAAATATATATATTTTTAGAAGTAATATTTCATAATAGTTCTATATTTCAGCCCTTTCCTTCAGTTTTCTGAGACTTTTTCAAAACTAAAAACTTCCTTTAAAAATTTGACCCCAAAGATTTGAATTGTAGTAGTGTATACACACACATATATACATACACACGCACACACACACATAAACAGTATATACAGTATATTTAAGATACATTTCATTCAAGATATGTCACATCCTGAAAATAATTGAGACATTTAAAAAGTTTAAACAGGCAGTTGCAATTACTTAATATGGGTATGTGTGTCTCAACTGAAGCACAGAAAACAGCAACGCAAATGCAGTTATAAATAACAAACACAGATTCTAGATTTCTCAAACTGCATCAAACGCAGAAGGAATGCAAACACTGAACTCAATGCAAATATGCAATAATGGAATATCATCACATTTTTCAAACTTATCACATTCTTCCCTACATTTTCCAAACAACAAAGATGTTTCTGTTCCTGGTCTCCAATGGTGTTCTCATTAAAAATGTGCACAAATGATGCCATCTTTCACTTGTAGGTTACATGTCATGCTTGTTGAGCCTCAACGATACTCAAATTGTGATCCGTTTCTTCTGAAAGGTCTCATCTGGACTTCATTTATAAATAATTAGCTGTCAAGTCTTTCTGCTCACAAAACTGTCAAAACTTGTAATAGACAAACAAGCAATAATAAGGGAGAGGAAGCTACTTATTGGCGAGTCAGTTTTTTTTTTTTTTTTACCCACATATCGATTGCTTTGAGTTTAAAAGTGCATCACGGCAATAATTGGCCAATTTAAATCATGCAAAAAGATTTACAGTGATATTTCATACTTTTTTCTATTACATAAAATGAACACATCTGGTTTTGTATTGATTAAGGGGTATGGTTAAAGGTATGGAATGGTTAAATAAGACAAAAAAGTGCTTTTGATATGCCAGTTTAGGAGAACACATAAATATATAGTCTATAAAAAGGTCCATCTAGACAGGTCTCACTATTATGAAATGAAATATTCAAGAATGTGGCACATATTGCTTGGCGCCCAAATCAAGCATCTATGAAATACTGATAGCCACAATATCACTCTCAAATTTATTATATTTGTGAAAGGATTTGAAACTCCATTTGAGCAGCCAAGAGAGAAAAGCAGAGAAGGGAAAGGCAGAGGAAACTGAGAAAAGGGAGTTTCAGGGAAATGACATCTTGTCTCCTCATCCAGCTATGATGAAGTCATTGAGCCTTCCCAGCGTTCAGTGAGGTTCTGGCCCCAGTGAGCTCCAGCGGTCCGCTCTGTATGAATTAGTCATGAGTGCAGCTCCACAGCCGCCATAATGAGGATGAGTAGGAGATCAGTTCTGCTTTGTAACGAGCCTCATTCTAAAGGTTAAACATACACTCTCACACCTTCTCCCTTCCCTGGGTGTTAACCTAATAATCAACCATTCAGACATGAGCAAATACCATGGCAAAAAGTGACCTGCCATAACCCACGACAAACTTCTGGAAACCTCTCAGTATGATTGATAATACATGAAATAAAATTGGTATTGCAAGGTCTACATTCAAAAAAATATTTAGGCCTACATTTAAGATCTATGTATTTAAATTGCATATTAAATGTCCATTCATTTGGACATGTGATTCGTGCATCCACGTGATAGGGTTGTGACGGTGAGGACCTTTTTCCACCGGTTAATCGACGTGTGACAACACCGATAATAACGGTATCACCGTGGTATTCATTTTGTGTTTCGTGTAAGTGCTTTTTTGGCTTTCAAAGTAAAGGAACCCATTGACTTGCTACTTATGAAACACCAGGCAACATTGGTTTCAGCTAAAATCATCTTCTTGTTCTAGATGGCCTGAGGGTGAGTAAATTACCAGCAAATTTTTATTATTGGATGAACTATTCATTTAAATTTAGGCCTAAACATTTTTCTGAGTGTAAGGGGCTGCATGAAAACAAGAAACTACAGAACAGCTGGATACTTTTCTTATCTATAGAAGATGTCTCGTAAGATACAACCAAGAAAAATTAGCAATGATCCATTCATCACGAGTGCCCTCCCTGCCAGATTTCAATCAAATGGAGTGGCACAATAGCCAGCGGGCAATTTTTAATGTCGACGTGCAAAGTACTTTGCAATTAATAACAGCCTGGCGATGATCTGACTGCAATGAGAATCATAATCTTACTAAACGTCATCGTGATTCTCATTATAATCATAATCACCG